ACTCCGTCTGAGATAACTGCAAGAGACCTCTCTTCTTATCTCTCGTGATTTGCATTCCAAGAATCTTCTTCGCTGGACCCAAGTCCTTCATGTCAAACTCCTTTGACAGCTGCTGCTTCAAACTCTTGATATCTTTCATATCTGTTCCTGCAACCAACATATCATCAACATACAGCAGTAGAATGATATAGCTGGACTGATATCTTTTGAAGTAGCAATAGTGGTCGGCGTTGCACTTCTGGAAACCTTCTTTGTGCATGAAGCCGTCAAACTTCTTGTACCACTGTCTTGGGGCTTGTTTCAGGCCATACAAGTTCTTTTTGAGTCTGCACACCAGGTTCTTCTTCTTTTCTTCTGAGAAACCTTCTGGCTGGTGCATGTATATCTCCTTTTCTAGATCTCCGTGAAGAAACGTCGTCTTCACGTCTAACTGCTCGAGATGAAGATCTTCAATTGCTATAATACTCATCACGGTCCTGATAGTATTTAGCTTCACCATGGGAGCAAAAATATCGGTGTAGTCAATTCCTTCCTTCTGCTGGAAACCTTTGACAACTAGCCGGGCTTTATATCTTCTGGAACCATCTTGCTCCTCTTTCACCCGGTACACCCATTTGTTGCGGAGTGTCTTCTTACCCGTAGGCAACTCAGCTAGTTCCCACGTCTGGTTTGAGATGAGAGACTTCATCTCATCTTTCATGACAAACTCCCACTTGCTCGCATCTCCACACTGACAAGCTTCATCAAAGCTTTCAGGCTTCCCACCATCTGTCAGCAACAGATAGTTCATATATCTCCTGTTGGGTACAGGAGGACGAGAAGATCTTCTTAATATCGGAGCTGGTGCGTCGGGCTCATCCGCACCATCTTGTCCAACAGGCTCTTCTTGCTGATGACCCTCTGCGTTGGGTTCTTCCGAGAGGTTACTCGGGACATCATCTGCATCTATAAATATTGACTCGCTCTCTGAGTCATCTGTCTTGTGCATGTTCTTGTACATCACCTTCTCGTTGAATATCACATCTCTGCTCCTGATCACCTTCTTGTTTTCGTTGTCCCAAATGCGGTAGCCGAACTCATCTTCACCATAGCCGATGAAAGTGCATTTCTTTGACTTGGGATCAAGCTTATTCCTGCCTTGATCACTAATATGCACGTAAGCTACACAACCGAAAACTTTTAGATGTGAGAGTTTTACCTCCTTTCCGCACCATACCTCCTCTGGTATTCTGTGCTCCAATGGAACCGATGGACCTCGGTTGATCAAGTAAGCTGCTGTGTTGACCGCTTCTGGCCAGAACTGCTTCGGTAGGCCTGACTGTACCCGAATGCTTCTGGCTCTCTCTGTCAATGTTCGGTTCATCCGCTCAGCTACACCATTTTGCTGAGGCGTACCGGGCACGGTTCTTTCCATTTTGATCCCGTGCTCATAGCAGAACTTCTTGAATCCGGTGTCTTCATACTCACCGCCATTGTCGGTCCTGAGCTTCTTTATTCTTAGACCGGTCTCATTTTCGACCATAGCTTTCCATCTCCTGAAAGCCTCAAATACTTCTGACTTATGCTTCAGAAAGTAGACCCACACTTTCCGAGAGTGATCATCGGTAAAAGTCACGAAGTAGTGTTTTCCACCAATCGACGCAGTGATGGTTGGTCCCCAAACATCTGAGTGAACGAGCTCTAGCTTCTGCTTCCTAGGGGTTCTGCCACTTGTCTGAAAGCTGAATCTCTTCTGCTTTTCAAGTATACATTCTTCACACATATCCATCTCCACTGACTGCAGTCCTGGAAGTTTTCCCTTTGTGTGCATGATTTTCATCCCCTTCTCACTCATATGACCGAGTCTCTGGTGCCACAGTTTTGAAGTCTCATTGCCTACTGCAACTGAGATCGAATAACGTGCACCTGCTGTCATATATAGGGTACCAGTCTTTCTGTCTCGGGCAATCGTCATTGCGCTCTTTGAGATCTTCTAATCATCTCCATGGAAGGTCGTGGTATATCCTTCGGGAACCAACTGGCCTACGGATATTAAATTCTTTCTCAGGTCGGGAATATGCCTGACATCCTTCAGTTCTCATACTGACCCGTTCAACTTAATTTTTACCACGCCTTTACCCACAATAGCACATGATTGATCATCACCAAGATATACGTATCTAAGATTTTCGGGGGTATACTTCTCGAAGAATTCTTTCTGAGAGGTAGCATGGAACGACGCTCCTGAATCTAACACCCAAGATTCCTCCTTGCTTTCCAAAGAGCATATCAATGCGTCGTCTCCACCTGAGGTGGAGATGACATTCACCTCTGCCTTCGCCTCCTTCTCCTTCTGTGCATTCTTGCACTGATTCTTATAATGCCCGGTCTTTCCACAATTCCAACACTCGATAGCCTTCGAGCTGTTGCTCGGATTCCTTGATTTGGACCTCCTGTCCTTTGATCTACCTCTGAAGTTTGATTTTCCTCGTCCGTTTCCTCTGGTTGAATTTCTACCTCTTGACTCTGTATGCAATACTGAAGAGGTTATAGCTTCACCCGTCTCTCTCCGTCGGATCTCCTCACTGAGAACCAAATCACGAACGTCGCCGAACTTCAACTTTTTCTTTCCCGATGAGCTACTCACAGCTGTGACTGTAGCGTTCCAACTCTCTGGTAAGGAAGACAACAATATCAACACCCGAACTTCTTCATCAAACTCAATCTCAACTGAACTCAATTGGGTTGTAACCGTATTAAGTTCATTGAGGTGTTGTGCTACTGACGCGCCTTCCGCCATTTTCAGATTGAATAACCGCCGCATCAAATGAACTTTGTTCGCGGCTGATGGCTTCTCATACATGTTTGAGAGTGCTGCCATAAGACCTGCCGTGGTCTTCTCCTTCGCTATGTTGAACGCAACATTGCGAGTCAACGTCAATCTGATAACTCCGAGGGCTTGTCTATCTAGAAGGTTCCACTCTTCTTCCTTCATAGAATCTGGCTTCTTCCCCGATAGTGGTTGATACAGATTTTTCTGATACAAATAATCCTCTATCTGCATTTTTCAGAATCCGAAATCTGTTCCATCAAATTTCTCAAGTCTCATTTTTGCCTCATCTGCGGCCATGGCTCCCACTTGAATCTGACTTTCTCTAGATAGTTTCACGTTCTGATACCAGTTGTTGGGAATTTGACGCCGAAATCCCTAATGCAACAGAAACGCAGAATAGAGAACAGTACACAAGATTTAACGAGGTTCGGCAACTGCTTACGTCCTCGGGAGCCACACAGTCAATTTCTTATTAATCAAACAAGAAATTACAATTTAGGAGTAGATCTCAAAAACTGAGATTTCTCAAATAAACACTGTAGCTACAGTGTTAATAATTAAAGGGTATGAACCCTTTCAATTCTCACTTGAGAATAAATGAATAACCCCAATATAAACCCCCTCTTTAATTCTCTCTCTATACTATAATCCCCCTTCAAACACAATGAAAGCTGGAGATTAAATCGCTGCTGCGATTTGGGCGTTTTCGCCGCCGCCAGAGAAGAAAGATCGGAGGAGAGGGGGAGAAGCGCTACTGTTTCCAAAACCCTAGGTTGGGGTTAGCTCGCCTGTGCTGCCGAAGATCGCCTGGCCCTCGCCGCCTGTGGCTTCGCCTGTGACTACCGGAGCTCGCCTGCGTCATCCTGGAGCTCGTCGGAGTTCCTCCGCCGCCGGAGGTTGGTATCCACCCCCAACCTAACATCAAGGGTGTAAGAGTTTTTTGCTACTTAATTTCAATGATTTATCACAATCCAATTCCCTTGAAATTTAAGGGGAAAACCTAGCAATATGGCCATACAACCAATTATGCGTTGTGAGTAAGAATTTACAAATTGGCAAACATATTCAACTATGAGAATAATAGAATGAATGTTTTTAGATGGATGTCAAAAAACAGGGTAAAGATAGCTGAGAATTGTTGCATTCATTAGAAGGTAGTGGTAATTCAGGGGCTTTTGGTTGACAAGAAATAGATTTACATTTGTAAAGGTTGAAACCAAATTTCTATTTCAATGTTTGGTTTGCAACAAGGCTATTAAAAATGGTAATTGTATTTACATTTTCTACGAAAAACTTGTAGCATTTGTTGCAGCCAATGTGAGCCCTTGCATTAACCCAAAAAAATTAGAAACTAGCGGCACATTATCAAATTAGTTTATTTTAACTCAAAAAGGTAGATTTTTTTTAAAATATTTAAAGAGAAACGAACACATGACTTGCAATGGAAATGTATTTCCTACAAGAAAAAAATACAAATCTAATGTGTTTTGTGACTAACCGAAGATTAGAATTGTATTTGGAAGTACATTTACCACAATAAAAGAGCAAATGTCCAAGCAATAGATCAGAGGTTAATTTCTTGCAACAAATGTTGCATGCAACATTTCTTGCATGCAATTTGTTGCAGTTACAATTGCAATGTACCAAATTCCCCCAAAATTGGAGTTGATAGGGAGAATTTTATGAGATAATTTTGAAAATTCAATTGGGAAGTGACAAATTCCTAATAAATATCAAACAGAATGAATGAATGATCGAGGCAACATAACACAAACTACACAACACGGTTCACACTAAAATGAGGACACATCAACATCCTAACATAATTCACTAGAATTTGCACAGAATGGAGCTGACAAGGAGAATTGTTTGAGATGATTTTGGAAGTTCAACTGATAAGCAATGAATTCTTTAGAAGTATAATCAGAATGATGGAGGTGACATGACACAGACAACACAACACATTTCACTAAAATTAGGACGCAAGGGCACAAAAACGTCGTTATAATTCACTAGCACTAGGACAGCTTCATAGTCCTGTAGCATCTATGCAGTTAATGGATATCTGATAGACTGATACTTCTTTACGTTTCCCTCTGTTCTATGGTCTAGAAGATTTTAAGGAAATGTACAACTTGCAATTCTTTCAACTAGTTGTACTCCATTGATCTTATTCCAAGTTCAATAGGAGTGTTGCCTCAAACGGGCAGTTCTGCATCACAGCAGCTTCTTGGGCATTGGCAAAATTCCAGTCAAGATGGGAACATCAGCGAGAATATCCAGCAAAAAGAAGAACCAGGCTCACAGTCAGAGCATCCTTCATCACAAACAGAATCTACACAACAATTATCTAGTGCCGAAGGTCAGGATCAGCAAGGCAGTAACCAAACCAAACATGATCAGCCACAATTGCAGCTGGACCATTCTCACTCTGATCAGCAGTTACAGACAGAAACAAGTGCAGCTCAACCTGTTGACAAAGATCAGATAAATAGTTCTGGTCAAACTTCTTTCCAGATCCAAAAACAGGAGAGCAGCACTCAGTATTCTGATAGCCAGCAGCAAACTATTGATCAGCCATTGAATGCTGAACAACAAACTGCAGCTGCTAACCTTCCGTTCCCAAAACAGGAAAGCAGCACACAGCATTCTGAGAGTCAGCAGCAAAATATTCAACAGCAATTGAATGTTGAAGAACAAATTGCATCTGGTAGTGAAGCAAAGCGGATGAAAAGTTCGCCTAGCATACCATTCCAGCTATTGATTCCAATCGTACGCCCACATCTTGATAAAGATAGAGCTATGCAGCTCCAGTCTGTATTCACTAAACTCAGGGTAGAGTTCTTCCACATGAATGTTCTTGTATTCTCTGCTGCTTTCCTGAAATTGTTTGGTCATAGGCTTGAGTTCTTCTTGTAACTTCGCAAAGGGAAAAAAACTTGTTTTCTGAAATAATTTAATAGACAATGATCTCTAAACACAAAAGAAACATGTTTCATGGTATAGTTTGACGAAATTCATGTTGGTTAAATCATTAAACCTTGATGTTTGCCCTTAAATCATGACAATTATTTCCAAGTTACTGAATACATTTTGCAAATACCAAAACCTTTCTGCTTAGTTGCTACAAGATAACAGGAATCTGAGTTTTCTGGGAAAATTTGAGAATTATGCTATAATTGTGTAAATGGACTTGATTATAGCTTTGGAGTTGATTTATTATCTTCCCCCCCTCACTTTGTGTTATTTTCCCTTAGTCTAATGAGGTCAGCAAAGAGGACTTTTTAAGAGTAATCAGGAATATCGTTGGGGATCAGATGCTCAGACAAGCAGTTAATAAAGTTCATATGCAGGTAAATACATTAATCATTATATGACATCCAATTCTTTTCACACTGTCATATTTGCAATGCTAGATTTTTAGTGCCGGAACTGGAACTGTCATAGGATGAGTTATAGGTTATGGGTGTTGCTAAGGGTTTTTGTTCTTATTTGTAACCCTCTCTTTATTGTTTCTGAAGCTTCAGGCTCAAGCAGCTAAAAATCAGCAGACAAGTCCAAACCAATATTCCTTACAAAATCAAGCTTCTCAGCAGCAACTTTTATCTCGAGGAGCTCAACAGTTTCATGATTCTCGAGCATTTTCATTGCTTCCCCGCCAACCTGTCTCAGCTTCGACAGTACAGATGCAGATGGATACGAAATTTCCTCCCATTGAGAACAGTAGTCAGAAATCCCGAGAAACAGAACATAACTCTGATGGAAGAGGAATGAATGCTTCCCAAATGCATTCCACCAGCAAGATTGTTAGCAATCCAGAGAGGGAAGCTTCTATAGACTCAATACAAGGAATTAACAAGCAGCAACAACAGTTGCTACAACCGCAAACATCATTTCCTATGTATGCTGGAAGCTCGAGTAGTTTTCATTCTCATCCATATGCTAGGCCACCTATTAGTGCTGCAACTACTGCTCTTAGATCACAACATCAGGATTCACAAATGAGGCCATCTCCACATACACAAGGCATGGCTCCAAAAAAGTCTGGGCCAGTTCAGCCTGGTAATGCATTAAATGTACCCAAATACGAACTACAAAATATTGGTAATGATGCCAAAAGACTTCATGGAGGGCCTTTGACAAGCCATTCATCACAACAGCTCCCAGTTTCATGGCAACCAATGGCAAGCAAAGAGCAAAGGAGTACTTCTATCCCATCAATGTCTCATGTAAAACAAGAAGTAGTTGATCAGGCTAATGAGCCTTCAAACAAGTCTCAGTTAACTACTCCACATGGCTCTTCATTTGGCTCTGGAAATGTTGGCCAAGGAAATCCAACTCTCGGTGCTTTGAATAGTATAGGAAGTCTGACAACCTTGGCAGATTCAAATGCACAGGTTAGTAATAGTAGTAGGTTTCCTAATATTTTAATCATAAATTGTTCATGATAATTTCTGCATAGCTATTTATAGCTGTTTATGTAGTCCTTTTTCTTTTAGCTTGGAGAGTTCAGATTGTGAACCTTTTGTAAACCACATAAACAAGGTGCACAGTTCATGTATCATTTTTTAACAACAATTCAGACTTTTGGAACAACATCTTGCATTCATTGCTTTTGGTTTTCACAAAATTTTCGTTCAACTTAATGAAATTAGAAAGAAAAGATATTTCTCAATTTGGAAGGTATGGTCATAAAGTGATACTTTACTAGCCTTGTTTGTCAAATTATGTACTCATTCATTACCAAGTATAATATTGTTTCTCTCAGATTTCGTCTCCTCTTCTTGCTGGAACTACAACAAAAACACAACTGAAGAAACCTTCTGTTGGGCAGAAGAAGCCTCTTGAAGCTGCAAGTAATTCCTCTGCTACAGCAAGGTGGATTTTTCTTACAGGACTTGTGTATTGTTTTTCTTTTCTCAATATTATTAGCTACTTTGTGTTAAATGTTTCTGAATTTTGGTAATTAGCAAAAAGCAGAAGACATCTGGCACATTTCATGACCAAAGCATTGAGCATTTAAATGATGTTACAGCTGTTAGCGGAGTCAATTTGAGGGTATGATGTATATTTTTTCTCCTCACATGCCTCTTGTTTTCAATCTCTCCATCCAACCATCTGTTCCTTTTCTTTTTTTCAGTCTTTTGCTTTTCTGTCTTTTATGATCTCAATGCATGTATTTTATGAAAGAGGCTTTATATACTTATTCACAATTTATAGGAAGAGGAGGAGCAGCTACTTGCTGCCCCTAAGGAGGATAGCCGAGCTTCAGAAGCAACTAGGAGAGTTGTCCAAGAAGAAGAAGAAAGGTTGATTCTCCAGAAAGGCCCTCTTCAGAAAAAGCTAGCGGATATCAGTTACAATCTCTCACAACTAAGACAACTATGTTTTGTTTTTTTAATTAGTATGCAGTGCAGAAACTTTAAGAAACTGTCTTCTTTTGTTTTTGGCAGTGTACAAAACTGGTTTGAAAAGAATCAGCAATGACGTGGAGCGATGTTTATCATTGGTACTGAAGTTTCATAATATTCCTCGTCATTATATCTTTATACATAATCTAACTCGGCTTATTCTTCAGTGTGTAGAGGAACGTCTGCGAGGAGTTATCAATTCTTTGATAAGATTGTCAAAACAGGTCAATAACATTTATCCATAAACCTAAGTTGCATGTCGTCTGTCTGTCTTTACCTGACACCGTTCTTGTTTTTATGAAGAGGGTTGATATTGAGAAGACGAGGCACCGTTTTGTCATCACTTCAGATGTTCGTCGCCATATTTTGGAGGTAAATAGGAGGGCTAAGGAAGAATGGGACAAAAAGCAGGCTGAAGAAGCAGAAAAGAACAGAAAAGTCAATGAAGTAAGCTAATTTTCATTGTTTCTTTTAGTTGACTTTTACAGCTCTACACTACTTCCACTCCATACAAATAGAAGAATTATGCAGTATTTAATAACCCCCCCTGCCCCCCACCAAAAAAAAGGCACACACAAAATAAAAAAAAATAGAAATAAAAAATTAAAAATTAAAAAAATTAAAATAATAAAAAATGGAAATAATAAAAAAATAAAAAACCCCATTTTAATGTTTTGCTTCATTATTTTGTTAATAGACTATTTTACTGGAGAGATTGAACTGTTTGGCCAATAATGTCTATTGCTGTTCTAGTACTTTATGCTTCCCTTCTCAAGGGGCCTCTGATCCATATCGAAAGTTCTCTTGTCATACTCGTTTTGAAAAGGCGGAATAAGTTGGAATAAATAAATATTTTTGAAGCTGATAATGATGAGATCTGAACCGGGACCAGTCTGATACCACATGTAGAAAGTTACTCTATTCAAAAGGTCGAAAAGGTTAAGCTGTTGAGTTATGCAGCACAACATTGCATTAGAGACATTATTGACGCGCCCTTCACATGGGCATGGGGAGGTTTAAATGGTATTCTTGAAGCTCTCTGAGAACTGCTTTTCTGGGGCTGGTTACATGGCCCATGAGAAGCACTTTGAGGGCTTGAATAATGGGTTCCCATTAAAGATTTAGGGTAAATTACAGAAAGTTCTCCCGAGGTTCATAAAGTGACAGAATATTGCCCTGAGATTTTAAAAGTGGCACTTTGTCACTCCATGTAGATTTTCCATTCCCTAAAAGAATCGGATGAGGACCATTTTCTTCATTAATAATTACAATACCCTTGTCCTTTTTTTTTCCTTTCTTTTAATGGCTTTCTTCACTGTTGTTCATATGAGCTTCACATCCATCACAGAGGCCAAATATCGCTCAATGGTCCTATATTTTCTTCCCATTGTTAGCTCACAATGTGCTCAAACATGAAGTTTTCTACTACGTTTCTCTCAGGCCTCGTTTGGTACAAGAGAATGAGTGGGAATTAATTGCTCATTTGCAGTTCTCATTCATGTGTACGGTGTACCAAACACACCATCTTTTTGGAAGTTAGAATGTCCATTTTCCCACATTTGTGGGAATGTGCTTCTTAATGAGTTGGTAGGAAATAGGCATTCCCACTCAAGTGGCAATGAAAAATTTAAAATACATACCAAACATTCCAAAATTAATTATCAATTACCCATATCAAAAGTAATAAGATTTGAATTCACGCCTCATTCTCTAATCACACCCAAATGTGATTGGAAATGAGCGTTCTGTTCCCACACTCATTCCATTCCGTTCTTTGCTTCATTCCATCTCACTTGATCTGATTCCCGCATACCAAACAAAGCGTCAATGTGGATTGAGTATCTTGAGTTTGATGACTTCTTCTCACAACTTCTTTAACTCAAAATCCAACATGAATGGATTCTATGTCTCTGTTTTTTTGACAAGTTCTCTCCCTTTTACTCATTGTTAGGGGTCGCCTGTAATATTGAAATAAATCATTAGCTTGATCAAGTCTAAACGCAACCTCTCCGCGGTAATCCTTTGGCTTGCAAGCTCATAATGGTTAGAGTTTTGTATCTTAACTAAAGTGGCATCATTACCTTGTTCTGATTTCCAGGTTTAGGTACCTCTCTGGTTTGATTCAACTGTTTATGAAATGAGAGATTAATGGATAACTCTAATGATGTTGGTAGCTTACGAGAGTGAAAGTTTCAATGTTTTTCATAACTAGTAGAATTCATGTGCTTTGCACGTGGACACCCTTGTTTTGTTTATGTTTTGCATTTTTTGTTTGTTAACTGGAACATGTTAAAGTGACTTTAATAACAATACAAATTCTTAATTAAATAATTAAATTTTTGTTAACTAAATTAAATTGTAGAATAAAATCGTGATAAAGAATTGTATGAATAATGATTATAATTTGGATAAGTGCTATAATTTAATCATAATTTATTATACTAAGCATAACATATTAAATTATTATTTAATATAATATACTTTTAATAATTGTAATATTGTAATTTTATTTTAACATAATTACATTAAATTCTAGTATAATTATAATACTATTAATAACTGTGTAGTAATTTATAAATAATTTCATAATTTGGTTAATATATTGTTATTAAATAATTTATTTTAACAATATAATTATTAAATAACGGTAAATATTTAATTTTAGTAATACTATTAAAGTAATCATATTATTAGTACTATAACAATTATAATAAATATAGATCATTTTTCAAACTATTGTTATACTATTAAAAGTTTAAGATGAGAAGTAAAGTGTTAATCCTCTGTATAAGGCGATGCATAGGCCCTAAGGCATAAGCGGTAAGACTTATGAGTTTTTGTCATTCTTAATTTTTAGAATTATATAAATACAAAGTGAAGATCGGGATAAATTTCAATTGCACTATTATAATATAATCAAATAATAATAGTGAATGAGATTTTTGGAATGTGAAGCAGTGCATAGTTTATTAATAAGAAGCTATGTGTAACTAGTGGGTGGTTAATTATAACTAATTGATGTAATTGAGAATAATTAAAATTAAGAGGGCAAAATAGGCAATCAAAAGTTTTGGCATTGCAATCCTCTTTTTAAGTATTTAGATCAATTTGATTTTGGTCACTATTGAGCTTCAAACTTCTCAATTTCAGTAGCAACAGCCTAGAGCTGAAATCTCATATGGAATTGTTTGGTGGATGGATAATGCACTCAAATTAAATAATTTAAGGGTTATTTTTGTTATTAAGCTCTCTTACTAGCAAGACAAAATTTAACACTAGGGGGAGAAAGTGTTAGTTCTAAAAGGTCAAGGGATATTCTGTCACTTTTACAAATCTCGAGGGGAATTTTCTGTAAGGGTAAATTGCACACCACTCTTATATACGCCTTGAGTTGCACCAAATTCTCTTTAAGTTATTAATTATCACTTAACCCCTTCAATTCAAGAGAAATATGGGTGTTACTTGCAATTTGTCTTTCTAGAGCTTGCTAAAAGCCTAAAACCCTCTTAAACTCATTTATTAGCAATTATCTGCTTTAATTCATGAGAATGGGCAATGTTACTAGCAATTTAGCCTTCTAAAAATTGCATTTCAAGGGTGCTAAGTCTAGTAAATGAGTTGGAGATTTAGTGTAACTCAAGGTATGTAGTAGATTTTTTGTGAACTTTTTCTATGTTTGTCAGAGATGAGGCTTCATAAAAGGCGTCATTGAGTTACTAACTAAATCTTCAATCATAAGCTTAAGCTTTTTGTGCTATATTACTATTTTTTGTGGAAATAAGCTTAAGCTTTTCGGGTTAATAACTTAACAAGTATTAAGCACGTGCTCGCACGGAGCATTTTGATTTCTTTGGTTTATATATATTAGTTTATGCGCTCCTTGAATATGCTAAGCTACTATAGTGTAATAAAAGAGATGATTGATTAAATTTCTTTGTAGACTATAACATACAGTCTGTCTATTAACTAATATATGAACTGCTTATGAAGGAAGAGACAATGAGCACATCTTTTTCCTATGTTTTGAGAAGAAGATATAGTTTTTTTACTAGTTAAAGTAGATAATTTGAGTGATCCAGTTTCTTTTAAATGGATTAAAATCTTAGGTTTGAAATTTTAAATTAAATAGCTTAACCATCAAATTTTCCTTTACAAATCTAAATAAAAATATATGTTTTTTCAAAATTAAAAAAATCTGATATTTCAATTTTTCCGATATTTCAATCAACGCTCATGTTTTGTTCATTCAAACTTGATCCTCTAATCCCCTAAAAGGGGAGCAGAAAGTTCAACCATCTCCTAGTGTTGAAGATATAAGACTTTCCATGACCATTATACTAACCAACCTCACACATTTCCCTCATCAATGTATTATAATATCATAATATAATATATTAAATTAGGGGATCATTTGTATTTTTTGAATTTTTTGGTGTTTGTAAAGTTTTGAGGATTGTTTGTAATTTTCAAAACTTTGAAAAGGGTGGTTGTAAAGTTTTTGGGGGTTTGTTTTGTAAAGTTTTTGTGGAGTTATATCTTTTAGGGGGCTTTTTGTAAATTCTTTAAATGTGTTTGTAATTTTGGAATCAATGGGTTCGTAAAATTTTTTGAGTTATTTGTAATATTTTGAGAGGTTTAGCACAATGTTTGTTACTTCAGCAACTTTAAGGGGGCTAGTTGTAAATTTTTAAAACGGTTATCTGTAAAATTTTTAAGTGGATATTTTTAGTTTTTAAAGCTTTCAAGGGCTAGTTGTAAAATTTTTGGGAGTTTGTTTTACAGACTTTAAGGGGGTTGTTTGTAATTTTTGAACTTTTCAAAGGATTGTTCATAATTTTCAGATTTTCTACGGATTATTTGTAATTTATGGATTTTAAAGGAGCAATTTATAATTTTTCAATTTTATGGTGCTATTTATGATTTGCAGATTTCTCAATAGTTTATTTATAAAATTCTAAATCTTAAAGGATTGTTTGCAAGTTTCCATGGGTTATTTGTTATTTCAGATTTTTTCTAGGGCGCTGTAATTTTTAAAACTTTCAAGGGGTCATTTATAAATTTTTTAGAGAGTTGCCGTTAATGTTTCAAAAATTTTCAGTAGGATATTTGTTATTTTTGCAACTTTCATAGGATAAATTTTCAAAGGGCTGTTTATAAAATTTTGGGGATATTTGTAATTTTGAAACTTTCACGTGGCTGGTTGTAAAATTTTCAAGGGGTTTATAAAATTTCAATGGGCCATTTGTAATTTTTAAACTTTTTAGAGGACTTTTTTTATTTTTAGGGATAATTTGTAATTTATGGATTTAGGGTTTTATTTGTACTTTTAAATCTTAAGTGTTTGTTTGCAAATTTCTCATTTTTGATGGGCTAATTTGAAAATTTAGATTTATCAAGAGGCTGTTTCTTATTTTTGGATCCTAGAGTGTAGTTTGTAATATTTGAATTTATGTCAACTTAGGTGGATCATCCACCAAACTTTATATCCATTGATGATACCTAGGGATCCATGCAAGATATGAAGAGATTATATATATATATATATTATGGATAGTTTTAATTTGATAAGTATTCTTAGGATTATCTAATTATTGAGTATTTTGATCCATAGTTACATGGTTCGCAGTACGTAGGGGGTTGTCATGCGAATTTGGGTACGCAATTTGAGACTTTGAAATTTTGGATTCGACAGGGGTAGTTTTGCTTCGATACGCAAATTCGATATAGGATACAATGTATTTTTTGGGGTACACTTATCATTTTTCAAAACGTATAGTAGAAAACTAATTGTGTATTTCAATATTTTTTTCATATAAAATACTTCAATACTTCATTTTTATAGTTTTTGAATACGTAAAACTTAAAATATTAAATATTAGGTAGCCTCTTAATAAATTTTTTTCTATTTTGCAACTTTCTTCCCCTTAATATCAAGTGCATATTCTGCTAATTCCGAGTCCAAACAATTCCATCTAAGCTCCTCCAACTTACTTAAAAATCCTCCAAGTTATTATTATTAGGATCTATATCCCATCCTTTATATGAACCAACTTTGTAATTCTCATAAAATAATGACAGGAGGTGAATGTTTGAATGGATGAATGCTAATTTATCCGACCTTTCACTATTCAGTCTATTCCTTTTCACACTATGTATGTAGGAATAATTATTCTAACTTCTCTCAGCTGAAGAGCTACTAATAGGCCGAGACAATCTTCTTAGCAACATCATGATCTAGAATTACTTATTCACTTCGGATAATTTCCACTTACTGAAAGAATACTGTCAATAATATTATCAAACATATAAAAAAAATCCAAGCACATGTGCATGAAAACAAACTTGTAAATCAACTTTGGCCCCCTCATACTTAGTAAGAGGTATGCTAATTTTGGGGAACCAATTCGTGTATCGGAGGAAATCAGTTCGTAAATGTACCGGGAATCGGTTCGCATGAATTGATCGACAATTCAGGGGGGGTCTAGGGAATCGCGCAACTGTGTTTTGATCATTAGAAAATTTTCTAATTATGGATTGTTTTAATTTGATTAGGATTCTTAGGTGAAGTTAGGTGTCAACATGTCAATTTCCGATGGGATAGACACATGGCAGTTTTTTTTGGCACATTACATGTTTTTGAGTCGTTAGTAGTAGTTCACCAATTTTATTATATATAAAAGAGAGATGATTATGACATTCTTTTTAATTATGGATAGTTAATAATTTTATTAGGATTACCAAATATTTGATTATTAGAATTTTCTAATTATGAATAGTTTTAATTTGATGAGAACTTTTAATTAGGTGAAGATGTGATTAGGTGTCTACATGCCATCTTTTAATAGGATAAAAAAACACATGACTATTATTTTTTTAATATGACACATGTCATGTATTTAGATGGCACATGTCGAGTTTTTGTGCCTTTTGGACAAGCACCAATTTCTCATTATATATATATAAAGGAGGGATAGTGTCTATCAAGCTAGTTTTAACACTTCAAACAGGTTTTGACTTGTGTCTCTCTCTTCCCAGTTATTGTTTTAATTGGATCTGTATCAGCCTAAATTTTAAGCTGGTATTTGTCGCCATAGTCCTGATGCTGTTGCTCACTTGTTCTAATTCTATTTTCAGGTATCCGCCATTGATCGACATAAATATAACAATTTATTGACTTCCATCAGTAGGATTACTTTTAATTGTCCAACCTACAGATAAACCTAGTGCTAGGGTGCTAGCAGTTCTTTATGGGACTAAAGCCAAATAAGTTCGGCACCAGTTTGTACAAAATAACTCTTCTCAGGCAGTATCAACTCTTTCTGCTTGTGCTTCTCTGCTCACCAGGAGTCATGGTTATCTTTTATAGTTTCACCTTGAGGATTTATGCTTCAATTTTGCGTTCGAGCGTTATTTTATGTGCTTCATTGATCGTTTGTTTTCCTATAATAATCTCAGTTCCTTTGTTAATCATCAAGATCCTCATAGCTAAGTTCATGTTTACAACTGATTTAAAATTTAGCATGTTTATTCATTTTTGCATGAATCAGCTGTGGTAGCTTGTTAACTATGTCTTTGCGTTCGAACTGTCACCTAGCCTTTGAGGCCAAAGGTGTGCTCAGCTCATGTAGAAAGTTTCATCAGCATGATTTATAGCCTCAATATCCTGAGGATTATCCTTGGTCTTGAGAGTCAGTCGCAAACTTGTGCTCATCCTCTTGTAGATTCTCTTCAACTGAGAGCTGTTTTTCCTTTGCCTTGTATCAATACATGTTGCTGCCTTACGCACTGAGCCTGCATGATTTCCAAATCTGAAGTCCCACTTCAGCCAAAGCTTTCCATCTATGTTAGTTGGGTACTTCTATCTTGAAGCCATTCCCGTATCCGACATGTACCGATAACCCAAACTCCTTGGACACTCGTTGCATATATGGATACATTGATTCGGGCATGTACTCAGTTAAACAATACATGTTTTAATTTAGAAACGCTTGCCAAACATTTTCTGGACATAAATCCTAGACTTCATATCCACTTCTTGAAACGCTTTGGGTTCCAAACTATGCTTTTAATGGTTGATTAGGTGGCTAGTTAAAAAAAGAGCATTTTTTACAATTTATAATCCATATAATAAAAGAAGCATAAGAGTGTTGTATAAGAATTTTAATTCTCTCGTAACACGTGTATAAAAAAATATTAAGGTCATGTAAACTATTAGTTTCAACATTAACACGTGTATATAAATATTTATATAGCCTTGTCCCCATACACTACCTTTTGCAAATTTGCCGTGTCTCATACACGTATCTGTACCCGTATCCGCACACATGCAACATAGCTTTCCATAGATCTAGTACAACGTGTTCAATGACATTAAGATAAGCATTCAAATTTGTCAATTAGAGTTCTCGGAACATTAAGGTTTATTAAGTCAAAACTACTAATCTTTCAGATATTTTATCTAACCCTTCTTTCCTGAGGTCTTCTGCTCTATACATTGCAAGCTAAGATGCAGTTCAGTTACATCAATCTCATACTTTTTTCTTTAATTGCAGTCTGATGGCAATGGGTCAGATGTAGACAAGGACAAGGATGATGGCCGATCAAAGGCCAACAAGGTAATATTAGGTGAAGTAAACTTGTGCTTATTGGAAAAAATTATTCCCTTTCCTGTCTTCAGTTTTCTTACTTGCATTCAGGCCAACAAGGAAGAGGATGACAAGATGAGAACAACAGCAGCAAATGTTGCAGCCCGAGCTGCTGTTGGGGGAGATGATGTGCTCTCAAAGTGGCAGCTCATGGCTGAACAAGCTCGTCAGAAGCGTGAAGGCCTGGATGCTCCTTCTCCTTCACAAACAGGTAAAGCAACAAGCAGCAAGCCTTCATCAGGCTTAAAAAGAAGTATGAAGGAGCAGCAAGAAACTCAAAGGAGAGGTTCCTCTTCCTCTTCAATTTCTGGTAAGTACACAAAGCTTCATTCTCCCTTTCTTAAGTGGACTAGACCAGGTATACAATTTGGAGGTTTGAGTTTCAGGGGGCAGTAGACGATTTGGGAGGAGCCCAGCAGCCATATCGCAGTCCAAAGTTGCACGAAATATTTCTCGAAAGGATATAATCGCTGTTTTGGAGAGGGAGCCTCAAATGTCGAAGTCTACTCTAATCTATCGCTTGTATGAGAAATTATCTGGTGACTCCGCTGTGGAATAATTGTGTCATATATGAAATGAAAATGGTTTGTTGCAGCTCTGCTGTATGTATCTTATGTTGTACATATTCATGGATGTTGTAATCACTGAAATAGTTGTGCAAGATCAACCACTCCCAGTATTATCTAATGTTCCAAACCTTACTTTTATCCAATTTGATGACGTAATAATAGGGTTTCGGTGGAAGATTTATGACTTGAGGAGCAAATGTGCATTTTGCATCCATTTCGAATGGTTTTGATGCGTAAGAGATCGTCATGTACCATTGCAAATGACTTTGATATGCCGTTTCACCAACTTCAGTATGTAGTATAATATAATGGGCTATAGGACATGACGAGTATCTCTCTTTTTTAATAAATATAGGAAGAAGTGGCTGGGATATGGGAGTATAAAATTAACACAACTACTCCTGTCTATCTTCGAACAGAGAGCTTATGGGGGTGTTTAGCTGGCTTAGAAAAACGAATACCATCACAAGCAGCAGATGTAACCTTGAGGGGAGTAGCAAAATAAATAAATAAAAAGAAATAAATGGGGGAAAAATTCTTCCTTTCTTATGAGTAAGGCACATACACAAAATACATTATTATTGTGGATATGTTGACCTAGGAGAGAACCTAATATGAACAACTGCCTACGTGTCTAGGATCCAATGCATTTTGACTAAACACCAACTAATATTTCACGCCAAGCCTGAAGTTCGTGCAGAGAGAAACCATGGTTTCCCTCTTCTGCTTCGATCGATGTTAACCGGTGAACTACACGTAGATTGAAGGTATGTTGGACGTTAGCGCTAACCAGGGCTTATTTGTATTATATATATATATATATATATATATATACTCTCTCTCTCAAGTTAAAGTTAAAGGGGTTTCCAATGTAGATAAATACTGTTCATATTTGCAAAAGATAGAATTTGGGCCTCTCTATAGCTTACGCATGGCCTTCCCTCAACAAAGCTAAGTTTTCCTAGCCCTGCATATCGACACACATTAAGGATAGTGTATGCTTCATGCACTGCTAAAACATGATGCTGCAATGCTGATCGCGCTTTCATGAGATCATCTTCCTCATTATCACTAGCGAGTCACACCTCAGCCTCTACTGTTGTGATATTGTTTGGGCTATCACGCATCAGTCCACAATCAATGCTCAACTCTATCAGATTTATGGCTGAAGATGGTGATGTTTTTTATGGGTTTTATGGCGTTCTTTGTGGGTTTTATGGCGATTGAAAAATTATTGTTTATGTGATGTAGGTTGTTTGTTTTGTGGAATATACACCATATTAGTGGAGCATTATTTAATAGGAATGACTTTGATTTTGTTGGTAGTTTTGTAATAAACAATAACTTTTCTTTTGTCACCTTGCTAGAACTTAGACAGTCGACTAAGACAACAATTTTGTAGAGAAAAATCACTAAATTTCTTACAAGTAAAGAAACACCAAATTATTCTTACAAGTACAGTTATTATTTCTTTTAATAAAATATTGTGCATGATATGTATTCATTTGTTGAATTAATAAGATCTTAATGAAATATATAAGTGCATCAGCATGAATTCATTAAAACAATTTAATAACACCAACATCATAGCTTTTGTAACACATGACATCCTACATTATCCATACTGCTTATAAAAGAAAATTAGAATGTTAAACTTTTTATCACCTCTTTTACCCTCTTAAATTCTAATCTAATTCCTATATGGTTTCATAGTGTTCGATTGTTTGGTTATATGTTAGAATTCTTTATTTGCATATATTGATTTTTCGTACGAGAATTGGTAAAGATATTATGGATATAACAACAATATAATACAAAGTTTCATGCAACGCACCCCATTTGCCCAAGGAAATAATGAGAAGTACAAGAAAAAAAGTGTTATATCTGTAATACTTGTAATATAAATCTTATAATATTTTTAGAATTTTAAATAAAAGTGACTAGTTAGCATGTTCTTTTCAGAATTTTAAATAAAAGTTTCAAAGTTAGACTTAGTTTTGTATAATCACAATGAAAAGATTTTCTAATATATTTACTTTGGACTAATGCATAAAACTATTTTCTTAGTATAAACTAGCTTTAATCAGATTATTTAAAGGTATCAAGTGAATTAATTCTATTTTAACTTCTTCAAATTAGCAAGTTGATCAAATTTTATGGGCATAGTCATTGCAAACCTTCATGAAACTACAACTCGTCTTCTAGAGGTAACCTAGGGGCTTAAAACTTATTGTATGTGCTAAATACAACTGTAATTCCTGTGATAGTGAATAAGAATTTTTGTCTTTCTTTATTGTTTTCTTTCTTGGTAGGTGTGGGGATATCTAATTATCACATTTTATTATATTTTCATACCCTTATTTTAAATAAATTTTATGCAAATAAATGATTAATATTATATTTTTAATTCTGCTTTGTAGGAAAAATAAAGAAAATAAGCAAGAGCTCAAATAAAAATTATCTCAATCCTAAAAGACTCTAAATAGCCCCAGTTGAAGCTGAAAAGAAGCTCAAAAGAAGCCCAATAAAATCAGAGGAAAATGACCTTAGGAAATAAGCCAAAGCAGCTTCATTGACAAGCCCATTAATGAATGCTACAGTAATTTTTTAGCATTTCATCTTATGGATGAAAATTGATTTTTGGGGGTCAAATTTGATCTAATGGCTCATATTAGTTTATGTAGTGATAGAGAGTAAAGGTGATGGATTTATAAAATATTATAAATCCTTTTTTAGAGGATTGGAGAACTACTCTTTTGAGAAGGCCTTTTAAATATTGAGAAACTTTAGTTTTACAATAAAAAAATTTCTCTTTTTAATTTTCTTTTTCTTATGGAGACTTAAAGAAATTTGAGTCTACATAAGAAACAAACCCCTTGCATTGTAAGTTCGTAGTTTTTAAAATTTTTTATTTAATTAGAATTACATCTTTAGGGAATGGTTTAAGATTTAATTTATGCTTTGCTTTGCTTGTTTAATTTTCATGCTTACTTAGTTTTTCTTGCTTAATTTAGAAGTAGATTTAATTTTATGCTTGAATAGTTAGTTTATTTTCTTGCTTTTTATTTATTAATTAATTAGTTTCTTTTCTTTCCTTTTTATTCTTGCTTTCTTTATTTGTTCATAATTTAGCATTTAATAAAATGTGAGGATAAATTTAGGACTCATTTCATTACGTGAAGAAGGGGGCCCACAAAAAGGTTAGACGTAAGGTCCGAGAGAGGAAAACATGGGAAACTACAAGAATCAATGGTTAGCTGCACAATAAGACGTCTAAATAACATAAATCAGACGTTCCTGACCAGGGTTGTGCAAATCGGTCGGTCGGTTCGGTTTTTGGCCAAATTTGGCCAAACCGAATTGAACTGCCTATCATTCAAAACCGAAGTGAACCGATTCAAGTCGGTTTGGTTCGGTTCGGGTCGGTTTGTTCGGTTTTTACTTGGGTACAAATGTTATGTCCAAATTCAATTTCACCTCTAATCTGTTGACGAAGAAATAAGTTTCTTACACTTTAATTTATTGAAATTCATAAACTATTAAATGCTACTGCATATTATGTTGAATATCATATCTCCATGATATTATTTTGATGATAACAATTTATACAATGTGTGTTATATACAAATGCACTAACTTTTATATGCAGATTTCAATATCAAAATATGAACAAGTGCAAGTTGAGTTCAAGTCATTATGAAGTGAAGAAGATGAAGATCATATGAGATAATGTATTTTACATTTTCTTTACTTAGAATTATTGTACAAGCCTTGATCACTCACTCACACACACACATAAATATTAGAACACACTAACACAGGTTTAGTGTGTTGGTTAACTATAGAAACCCCCTATGTTAACCATTAGGGTTATAGTTAATATATAATTGAGTGTCAGAACATTTAATTCATATCATTTTCTAACTCTTAGTAGTCGACTAATTAGAATAGTAGTCGACTACTCATGTATATGTCTTAAATATATGTTTCTGTCAATTTATAGTATAGTCGACTAATTTGGATAATAGTCGACTACTTAAGCTTATGACAGAAATATAAGTTTCTGTCATTTTACAGTATAGTCGACTAATTAACATTATAGTCGACTACTGAAGGCAAAATTTATTTTTCAAGTTTCTGTCAAATTACAGTATAGTCGACTAATGAACTTTATAGTCGACTATTGAGAAATTTTCTAAATTCACAGAGTCTGTTTAAACTCAGTGTAGTCGACTAATCTGTCTTGTAGTCAACTACAGATATAGTTTTTCTAGAATTTAAAGTTTGAATTTATGACTGTTTATAGCCGTTTTTAAATGTTTTTAAAGTTTAAAAAATTGTCTTTTCAAGGGCTATAAATAGGTTATTTGTTCAGAAAAAATACAGAGACTTACATACCCACAAGCTTTGATCTTTGTGTATTTTTTTTTTCAAGTGAAAAACATTCAGAGTTTGAGAAAAAGAAGAGTTTCTGAAATTACCTTTGAACATTATTCAAATACTTATTGTTTAGGCAATTTACAGAAGTGAGAATCATTCCTAAACCACTACTACACTACACTATAAATCAAGGCTTGTTGTTTAGGCAAAAGTTCTATCGGTTTGTGAGAGGTGTTAATCTATTGGTTTAGAGATTGGTGTGTAAATTGGCAAGGTGTTTGTCAATTAGTGTTGCAATTTGCAGGGACTTGCAAATTGGTCAGTGTCCTAGTGTTTCTATTTCAGATCCTACATTTAGTATCAGAGCAAGGTGAAAGATGGCATCTATAAATACATCACAATTCAAAGAAGGTCACTCAACAAATCGTCCACCAATGTTCGATGGTTTAAACTACAACTATTGGAAGTGTCGAATGAAGATTTACCTTCAATCAATTGGCTATGAACTTTGGAACGTTATGAAAACAAAATATGAGAAGCCAACAACTCCATTTTCAGAATGGACTACTTCACAAAGAAATAATACAAATTTGGATTCAAAAGCAATGAATGCATTATTTTGCGCACTTGACAAGAATGAGTTCAATAGGGTGTCAACGGCCACATCTGCATACGATATTTGGCATACACTTGAGGTAACTCATGAAGGTACAAATAAAGTTAAAGAATCTAAAATTTCTGTTCTTGTGCACAGATTTGAATTGTTCAAGATGAAGGAAAACGAGACTATTGGAGAAATTAATGTTCAC